TATTTTTTTCATTTTGGGCTTAGTTTTTATTTTTCAATTTCAGGCTCAAAAGAGATTATTTGGGCCTAAAAATTAAGAAAATAACAATAATGAAATAAAAAAATAAACAATTCGTCTCATAAGCATAAAAATATATATTTCGTTCCATAAATAAACATAAAAATACAAAAAGGCCAAAAATTGAGAGTGAATGTATTGTATTTGTCGGTCATAGTGAATGACTGAATGTGTATATATACATATATATTTGTTATAGTTTTTTAATATTTATCGGCCCGGTCCGGTTAAACCGGTGGTTTGTTGCAGGTAATCCGTTAACCGGACCGGTTATTCTGGATTTTTATAAAAATTATCTACTGAATTTTATAAGGCTTTTTTAACCGACCATTTAACCGATCCGCGGTCTGGATTGACGATTTTTTTGGTTAAAATCAGACCGTGAACACCCCTAGGTCTGACTGATAACAACTTACTATTTCAGTATTAACTGAAATATACGACCAACTATTAAAATTGTTTAAGGAAACAAGCCGTTCGAGCCGAGTTGAACATTAATTCATTAAAGCTCGAAAGTAATAACTTTTATGTAAGTTTTTACAACTCAGCTCGTTTGTCGACATTGATAAAAAAAACAACACAAGCCCGAACTTGTTTATCGACTTGGATGCTCGATAAAGACTTAAATTCAATTATATTGTTCCAGTTTTAACTGAAATCTAAGACCAACCATTAGAGTTATAAAGGAAGCAAACCATTCGAGTCAAGTCGAACTCGCCTCACTAAAACTCAAAAAACAGAAACTTTTATATAATTTTATACAACTCAGCTCGCTCGTCGACACTAATAATTAATTAAATGACCCGAATCCAAACTCGTTTAACTCGATTGTTCGATAAAGGCTCAAACTCAAATTCGAGTATCGTCAAGAACTTAGAATTCAATTCATTTACATCCCTACCAACAAATACGTGTACACATGCATGTAAGTTTAAGATGTATATGCTAGCGTAAAAGAGAAGTACTTCCTTTCGGCTAAACTTCGTAAGCAATTCACAAATTTGATTTGAGCCTATGAAATGTCAACTCAAAAGTCAAAACTATACCAATGGCGTTGTTGTAAAAGGTCAACATTCACGCACAAGTGGCGCATGTAAACGTGATATGTGGGCAGGTAATTAATTAAATATTTTTTTACGTACTTTCCTGCAAATTTTTTTTTCTTTTTTTTTTCCTATGAATTTTAATTTTTATCTTTGTGACTAGTCATTTATTTTGTCATTATTTTGTTGATTTTTTTAATACTTTTTATTATATAAGATATTATTATTGATGTTTAGAAAGCTTTTTTGTTTAAATAATTGTAGAACATGTAATGAAGTGAAATTTCATGATTTAATATTCTATAGTTTCACATAATATATATATATATATATATATATATTTTTTTATTTTGTTTTTTTGTGATGGATTTCACATCAAGAATTATTAACAAAACCACAAATTTAGTATTTTAATGTTTTGTGTGTTAAGCATTGGATTGACCAGACGATCGATGACGCGATGGATATTATAAATTTATTATTTAAAATAGTATATAATATTTAAAATATTAATACATTATCAAAAGCGAACAATTAACCATAGTGAAGCTATGAATAATTGAAATTATAGGTTATACTGATAATTTAAATTATGTTTTCACTGAGATTTTTATTATGAATATTACTACTATATTCTTTTTTTTTTTTTTTTG